GGTCTGATGTCGCAATAGGCTCATATTCTATACTCACATTTCAGTTTGGAGTTTTGCCAATTTTATTTTTAAGCAGTAATTCTATAGTCTAACATAAACAAGTGATGTTGGCCTGGCAATGCTATTGTTAGACTGTACTGTAAATAAGTTGGGTTTTAGAGCTTGTGGTTTTACGACTTTACGGAAAACCTGAATTTCGATTCACATGTTGATCATAGCGACTAACGACAAAATCGATCCAAATCACTGGTGGGATGTCCGTGGAGACCGTGGGTCGGGCTCTATGATCGTAGGATAATGTGAGAAGTAAGTGGACCGACTGACTGGCAGCGTTTTTGAAGTAAATATTTGTTGTTGTCGACATGAATATAAATGCAACAGCATTTGTTGATGAAGTAGAAAGTAGGTTGCAGTCCGTTCGCCGATGAATTGTGCTGAGTTGACGAGTGAGTTACGCGGCTGTGAGGGGACTTGAGGAGTTCAGATTTGTGGTTCAGGATGTGACTCTACTAACTACTGTTTGACTTGGTAATTTTACGTCAGTTTCACACAGTACACAGTGGACATACAGCCCTCAGAGTAGAAAGGTAGATCTAGAGAGTTGGTCTACACCAGTTTGGTCAGTCTGTTATTTTATGGTGTTAAAAATAAAACAAGAATGCTTTTAGACTGGGGAATGCAGGAAGTAATTTTAGTTTTAGGGTGATATGTAGGTTTCGTTTGTTTTAAGTCCAAAGCTGAACACCAGACACCCTGAATTGCCAGAAAATTTAAAACAAAATCAAAATTCAAGCAAAGAATGGCACTTTTGTTAGAATTCTTCAGTCACGGAAGTCAGTCGGAATATACGGTTAGAATTTCTCTTTAAAGCAAGACTTTTGTTTGGCAAAATTGTTCTAGATTTTAATAGGACGTAGCCATTCGTTATGTCGATCTATTTTAAGGAAAAAAGCAATTCGAGAAAATTTCGAGTTAGACGGTTAGATTGTTAGAATTCTCTGCCGACGATATATATTATAAAATGAATCCATGAACGAGAAACAAACTATTAGAAAAGTGTAACTTGAGACCTTGATTTGCCACATATATATTTGTAGATTTAGGTATACTCTGTATCCAACCAATGCTACCCTTCCTTCACCTGAAGTTGTCACCATGTCTTCCATCATTATCAAGAGGTAAAGTATTTCGAGTATAGATTATAACAATTTCTAGTTCCTTGCTTGAAGGACCCCTGCCCCGGGGACATTTCTATAAATTTGTCGTTCGAGATTGTAGTAGAAGTAGGTAGGGTCTACCATAAAAGTTATAGGCCTACCTAGAGCTGCTTTAAAGTACTTTAAACAGGCATACATTACATCACACAACACTGGCACACACAGCCACAATTGAAGAGAGCAGTTCCCAGCAGCCTCCTCTGCAGAATCTGGACATGAAGTATGGCTATTTAATTCCAGTTCTTATGCCTTGACCCCTATATATGTCTTTCTTTTCTTTGACAAATAAGAGTAAGAGGGTTAAAGTCTAAAGTCTAAAAATTATGTCCTCAGGAGTACAAATTGTAACATAAAAAGTACAGAGTACAGTACAGTACAGCTCACCTCGCCTTAGACTTAGACAAACAAGCGCGCTTGTCGTCTTTACAAAGTACACTTACCTCGTCCTGGGTGGAGTCAAAGTGACCCTGTCAGTAATTCTGGTATAAATTACACTGCACTAAGTTACATCTGGGCGCTGAAAGGAAATAAAATCCTTAAATAAAACTATAGCCTACTTTGTAACTTACTAAAAACCACCTTTAGCAGTCCTGTCAGGCTAGGGTGGTATAGTAGTTGCATTGTAGTATCCCCCAGTATAGTCGTAAAATATTATATGGTATTTTAAATTATCGAAGAATTAGTTTTCTTTTTTCTTTTTATGGAAATTTAGAACAAAAGCTCGATAGAAATCATGGGAATACACATGTCGTACATTGCATGAAACATTAGTTTTATGGTTATGCATACCAAAAGTCAATGGAGAAAGAAGGATGGGCGTATCATATCTTCCTGAGACCTACTAATTACCGACAAAAGGTTTCGAAAAATGATAATCCATTATAAATTAATAATCGTCTCTTACATAAGAAGAGAGAGAGAGAGAGAGAGAGAGAGAGAGAGAGAGAGAGAGAGAGAGAGAGAGAGAGAGAGAGAGAGAGAGAGAGAGAGAGAGAGAGAGAGAGAGAGAGAGAGAGAGAGAGAGAGAGAGAGAGAGAGAGAGAGAGAGAGAGAGAGAGGGGGGGGGGGGGGGGAGAAAAAAAGAAAGTGAAAGCATTAGGCATTTCGTGTGATGCAGCCTTTGGAATATTTTCCCGATCTGTTTCAATAGCCCAGCACTGACAGTATATTGTCCACTAAAGTTACGGTAGTAAAAGCTTTGTTTTTAGTTGTTAGGCCTATTTCTTGGGACGTTGATTGGACGTTCTTCTCTGGATTGTACTCACTTTAATGAAACTACCATCTTTTTTGGCAAGCGTAACTGATTATAAAGAAGAAAAGAAAATGTTACGTATTTTAAAACCAAAGACAACAGGCAATATATTATTTTGCATTCCTTGCCGCTATATTATTATTTTATTTAACTAAAACTGCGACCGCCACTTGTAACGGCGAACAGGCAACTCAGTTTCCGGGGTGGGGGCGGGGCGGGGCGGGGGCGGGGCGATGTTTTCGCTACGCAACGTTGGTCTGATGTCGCAATAGGCTCATATTCTATACTCACATTTCAGTTTGGAGTTTTGCCAATTTTATTTTTAAGCAGTAATTCTATAGTCTAACATAAACAAGTGATGTTGGCCTGGCAATGCTATTGTTAGACTGTACTGTAAATAAGTTGGGTTTTAGAGCTTGTGGTTTTACGACTTTACGGAAAACCTGAATTTCGATTCACATGTTGATCATAGCGACTAACGACAAAATCGATCCAAATCACTGGTGGGATGTCCGTGGAGACCGTGGGTCGGGCTCTATGATCGTAGGATAATGTGAGAAGTAAGTGGACCGACTGACTGGCAGCGTTTTTGAAGTAAATATTTGTTGTTGTCGACATGAATATAAATGCAACAGCATTTGTTGATGAAGTAGAAAGTAGGTTGCAGTCCGTTCGCCGATGAATTGTGCTGAGTTGACGAGTGAGTTACGCGGCTGTGAGGGGACTTGAGGAGTTCAGATTTGTGGTTCAGGATGTGACTCTACTAACTACTGTTTGACTTGGTAATTTTACGTCAGTTTCACACAGTACACAGTGGACATACAGCCCTCAGAGTAGAAAGGTAGATCTAGAGAGTTGGTCTACACCAGTTTGGTCAGTCTGTTATTTTATGGTGTTAAAAATAAAACAAGAATGCTTTTAGACTGGGGAATGCAGGAAGTAATTTTAGTTTTAGGGTGATATGTAGGTTTCGTTTGTTTTAAGTCCAAAGCTGAACACCAGACACCCTGAATTGCCAGAAAATTTAAAAAAAAATCAAAATTCAAGCAAAGAATGGCACTTTTTCGGCAGTCCCCCCCCCCCCCCCCAATTAGAGTACATCTATTATTCGCTGGTTTTGGCCCCAAGAGTCTGGGTTTCAGGGCCCCCTCTGACCTCATAAAAATATGAAGGGTGTGGGTGGGGGGGGGGGGGGGGGGGAGGATTCAGGGGGCATGCCCCCCTGAATTTTACCATAATTTGATGTTTTGCAGAGGTTGCATCCCTGTTTTGTAGTGTTGCCTTCTATTTGGTCATCAAGACTTTCGGATTTCTTCTCTGGATCAACGTAAACAAATGGATCGTGGACTAAGTAACGAACGGAACTACAAGATCATCTAATTGATTTAGATCTAGATCTAGATTCTAGATCTAAATCTATATTATAATTTTTTTTCTGCCAGTTTCTTCGAGTTCGGAATTTTGACGAGCGCCTGATGTCACCACGCTGCCTCACATATTGTTGGTGTTCTGTGGGAACCTCGTTTTAACTCCTAAAATGTTACTGGAGAGACCAAAAAAACTATTATTATAATAAAATCTAACATTGTCAGATTTAAATGTCTGTGTATTGTTATGGGCCATCTATAAACAAATTCCTGCTAAGCAGTGTGTTGAAATTGTACAGGACGAAAGACTGTCCAACATAGGTAATGTTAAAATTAAATGTGATCAAATTCTGTCAATTTGTTGTCCATGGGCCTTTGAAAAAAACCTTGCAAAGAAGTATCATGTCATCATGTATTTGTTTTACCTGCCTGAGTGCATAAAATTCCACAGTGTTGGTGGTTGGCAGGTGCTCTGGTGTTGTTTGCTTCTTCTTTCCTATCAAACATATATCTATCATTCTTATTTCCCCTCCTTTTTTGTGTTGGTTACTCTCTTGTAACACCTCTAATCTTCTGGTGATGACCTTGTTGTGTTGTGCAAATGACGTAAAACTCTATTTAAATCTAAAATTTCCACAGTCTCAGGGACACTCATGCGTCTACCTCAGTGCTGCAAGCCTCTTGCGCCGCCGATCTCCGCCTGTGCCTTGAACAAAGCCCCCTCCTTCCGCCCCCCCCTCCTCCCTCCGCCCTCCCCCCTCCGCCTCGGTTGACAGCACAGGTGACGGGTCAGCGACAGATTCTCTGTCACGATGCTGGGCATGTCCGTGTCTACGGGCCATGGACTGAGTGGGCCCATCTACAGGGTGGAACAGGTACGATAGTTCTGCGTAAGCTGACATCTTCACCTTTTTCTTTCACAGCAGTTTCAAGATAAATATATATCTAATAGGCTTTTTGTCAGTGTAATCATTTGAGCATTCTTCCAAAATCTGAATTCTAATTTATTGAAAAACTAACTTACTAGCAGTTTTAATTTGATTTTTTAGGGTAACTGATCAGGCCTTTGATTTATCTAATATAATAACAAAATTTGGGGCCAAAAATGAAAAAAAAAAGCATTTTGTCAGCCTAGGTAAGAGTTGTCAGTCATTCGTACACTGGGGAAAAAATGTTCAGTCAAAGTAAAGTAACCCCCCCCCCCCCCCTACCACCTCCCAAAGCACATCTCTATATGATATTATTATATATATATATATATATATATATATATATATATATATATATATATATATATGCTCGTAGGAATGGGAAATAATATTGTTTGAAATGAGGATGAATCATTTTGAGATAGAATTAATTTTTCGCCCATTGCCTTTGGATTCCTGTAATTTTGTAGAGAGATTTTGAGAAATCACAAGTGTCAGGCATTTAGTTGGTTTAACTTATTCGCTGCAAGGGTCAGTTTCATTCTTATGACGGACAAATTATTTGTCTGACCACATACCTACTGGGGTGTTCAATTTTAGGACTATTATTTTACTTAAATTTTGACGTGTTTGGTCGAATTATATACCGAATTGAAAGAAATAGAATAGGGATTGAGAAGAAGTGAATAAAACTGAAATAAATTGTGACTGAATATCAAAGTTTAAAAAGTGCACTGCCCGAGTGAGACACGAAACAAATAGCGTGCTGATCATAATGATACACCAGGAATTGGCACTGTTGCAGCAATCTATATTGACGATACGTCATGGATGGCTGTGGATTAGGCACTTATGGCCTTATTGTTTTGCAAGTGCCGTAAAACACTAAAACCAAATGACTGTGCAATTAGATAAGGATGTATGTGAAATATGTTTTGTCCCCACCCCCCAGGTGTGGGTGGTTGGTGGGTGCTCTGGTGTGGTCTGCTCCTTCTTTCCTATCAAACATCTATTGTCCTGATCTCTCCTCCTTCTTTTTTGTGTTTGTTACTCTCTTGTAACTCCTCTTATCTTCGGCACTTTTATATAAACCTTTTTGTGTTGCTAGTGCTGTGAAACTCTTACTATAACAACCCCCACCCCCCCAGGTGCCGGAACATTTCCAGGAACACTTTATCCTGCGGGGCTACCGACATCCCAAAAGCTCGGTGACCCAGTGCTTGCTGAGCGTGTTTGATCCCACCAATGAAACCCTCAATGTGTGGACACACTTTCTTCCGGCATGGTAAGATGTGCTAAGGTTTTATTTTCTTTTTTCGTTTTCTTTTTTTTCTTCAAATTTTGTTTATTTTATGTTGTGTAAGTGTTTTCCGATTGTGCTGTGACAGAGCGGTTAGTGCGCTCGTCTCCGAAGCGGAAAGTCCGGGTTCGAGTTTCGGTTCGGACACTGATTTTTTTTGGACTCCTCCTGCCCACCCAGCAGTAATGGGTACCTGACTTCGAGTTGGGGAAGTAAAGGGGACGTAGAAAGGAACTGGCCACCCTACCACACTATGCCGAAGGCTTAGGAAGTTGTCTCCCTAACAAGGCAATCCTCAATGTCCGGATCAGATGCTCAGTGGTAGTACATAAATTGGCTGTTGAATTATACACTTCTGTCCTTGGAAAAAACAATTCTTCCTATACATAAATTAGCTGTTGAATTATACTTCTGTTTTGGAAAAAAAAATTCTTCCTATACATATACTTCTGTCCTGGAAAAAAAATTCTTCCTAAACATAAATTGGCTGTTGAATTATATTTCTGTTCTTAAAAAAAAATCTTCCAATACATGAATTGGCTGTTGAATTATAATACGTTTGTCCCTGGAAAAAAAAATTCTTCCAATACATAATTGAGTTCTGTTTTCCCGTCCCTCGTGACTCATTGGAGCAGAGGAAGTTAGGACTAACGCTGACTTTACTTAAACACAACCCCACATCACCACTCATCACCACCATTTTTTCAAAGATCATCACCACTCTCAGATCAATGACTTACACCTGTATTCCTTTAATCTCTATCTGTATCAGTTACTTGCCATACTAAGTATACACGTAATACACTTTTGGACACTATCATCATATGCACTTTTTTCTACTGATCAGATGGCGTTAATCTCATATAAATGGGCAAGGGATTTAAAAAAAATTTGTTTAAAAGAGTTCTGTTTTTTTCCCGCAGGTATTTTGTGTGGGTCCTGTACTACCTGAGTGGCTCCACCGACTTCCTCAACGACCAGTACACCTGGCCGCTGTTCTGCTACCTGCTCGTGTGTTGTGCCTTCCCTCTCGCCAGCGCTGTCGCGCACCTGTTCAACGTTCTCTCGGACCGCGCTCGTCACGTCTGCTTCTTCCTCGACTACTCCGCCCTGGCTTTGTTCAGCTTTGGCGTGGCCGTCACGTACCGCGCCTACTGCTTCCCAGCGGGCCTGCTGCGCGAGGGCTCGCCGTTCGCTTGGTACAGGGATAACTATGTCTTCGTGGCTGCTTTCAACGCTATGCTCTGCACCTTTTGTTCCTGCCAGACACGCTTCATGAAGCCCAGCCCGTTCCGGAAGGCGATGCGTCTGGGCTCTTTCGCATTCCCGTATCTATATGACAGCGTGCCGATCGTGTACCGACTCCTTCACAGCACCCCCGAGGACTCATCATCGTTGACGGCGCACTACTTCTTCACCAGGCAGTTCTTTCTGTCGTTTCTCGCGGCCTTCCTGTACGCCTCCCACCTCCCGGAGAGGCTCGTGCCGGGAATCTTTGACATCGTCGGTCACTCCCATCAGCTGTTCCACGTGGCGTCCATCATGGCCGTCTGGGATCAGCTTCAGGCAGTTCTGGCCGATTTCGAGGAGCGGCGAGAGTTTGTGCAGAAACACTGGCAGTTTGAGCTGGCGAAGAATAGTATCCTCTTTGTGCTGGTGGTGTTTTGGATCAATTTGTTTATTGTTGCTTACTTTACCATTAAGCTTTTCCAGCTGAAGCACAAACTCAAGAGTAGTTAAGATTTCCTTTTTTTTTTTTTGTAAATGCTTTACCGGACTTCGTTGACCTTAAATTTGGGTGTAGATTTCCACTGTTGTCCCCCAAAATAGTCACAAAGTTCTGGAAGTTTTCACAACTCGTGGCAAACCTGTTTCCGACATGATGTGCAACTTGCTGGCAACAGCATCGATATTAAATTGAAATCGTCTCTACTATATATACTCTTTTTATTGACAACAAAAGCCTTCCTAGAAGTATGTGATACAAAACCTTCAGGGTACGAACATTTCCTCTGCCTTCTTTTGTGGAAAGGGGAGAGGAAACAGTCTCTTTCTTTGAAGAATGGGCCTGGGCCAAATGGAGGATGAAATCTTTTTTTATTATTATTTTTTTTTTAAATGATTTTGTTTTGTCATTTGAATACAAACCTTTATATATATATATATATATATATATATATATATATATATATATATATATATATATATATATATATATATATATATATATATATATATATATATATATATATATATGTGATTTACATTGTTCAAATTAAGAACTGACTGTGTTGTGTGTTGAGTACAGTTGAGCTTCTACTTCAAAAGAGCTATTGAATCTCATTATTACCTCAACGGTTGTTGTTTTTTCCCCGAACAAATGGGGCACAATATCTACTTCTTTTTATCTCCACTTTTTGTGAGAACAAAAATTCCTTGAACAACTTTTAAATGACAGATTTTTTTTTCTTCTGAAAATTTGTTTTTCTTTTTTTAGTTGATTGAGAGCTGGGATTGAAAATTTGTACTTTTGGCATTCCTAGTGTTTGTTCATGGACATGTGCCTAGCTGTCAAGTCCTTATGATTTTGTAGACTCGGAGCCACCAAAGTATGGCCTTAGGGCAGATCTATCTTCCTCTGACCCACCTGCCACACGCCACCATGCGGGGAAAATTTATGGGTTTTTTTTTCTTTCGGATTTGTCTGTAGCATTCCAAAGACACGGTCACTAAAATAATTTCATCACTTTATTGAACTCTTCAGTGAACGTTGAACACGATGCTTTCGTAGATTGTTTTAGACATGCTTTTATAGACATTGTAACTTCCAGCAAATGTATCGCACACTTTTGCTCGGCTTTTAATGAGACCAATCTTTCATTTAACACGTCAGTGTATTGTATGGACCAAACTAGTTGTCTGGCCTGCTCTCTGTATTTTCTCAGTTACCGAACCTACTTTGGGAGAAAAAAAAGTACGGTGGGCCCTGGTTGGAGAAGATTCCTGAGCTCTCCTGATCCACTGAATAAAGGGATTACTTTATTGTCTTTTCAAGACGCTTTCTATTATCACATTTTACCATCTCTAAACCCGGAATCAAAAACGATTTATGGCAGCACAGACTCTTGTGTTTTACTTAATTGAATCCGTTTTGTTTTGTGATATATTTCCAATGACTCTTTGAGTACATGTCTGACAAACCCCCCCTTTCATCCACCCAATTCATCATAGGCCATGTTTTTGTAAGAAACCTATCGTGACTGTGTTGTTGCTTGCAGCACAGGCGTTGTTGGGTTTCTCACTACATCAAACAATCCCTGTGACTGTACTGTGAGTCCTATATTATCATATACATACATCATTTTAATTTAAGATATATATATTCTAACCGACCTGAAAGTTCTTCTATTGCAAGTGTAATGATGCAGTCTGTTTTCTTTGCCTTGTATACACCAAGCTGTCTATTATAATTATATATATATATATACTGATATTCTGTTTACAACAAATACATGATGATATATATATATAGTGTTGTGGTTTACTGCCGAGGCGCCCCTTGTGACTTGAGCTGTCTGCGGCTCACATGTTGATCTATTTTTGTCCTCCGACAGTGATTGATATTTTTGGTGGGTGGTTGGCGGGTGCTCTGGTGTGGTTTGTGTTCCTTCTTTCCTATCAAACATCTATCGTCCTTATAAATCTCTCCTGCTTTCTTTTTTGTGTATGTTACTCTCTTGTAACACATCTATTCTGCGGCACTTATATACATGACGACCTTGTTGTGTTGCAAGTGCTGTGTAAAACTCTTACTAAAACTGATATTTTTGTCTTGATTTTAATAATGACTGATGTAATATTGTCTTTTTTCGTCGGATGGACATGGTTGATCTCTCAATCTCTGCTGTGTGGAAATCCGCAGTGACAAAGATTGATCTTTAATTTTTGTGTTGTCACTGGCGTGTGTAGGTTGGTTGGTTGGAGGGCAAGATGGCTGAGGGGGAGGTCAAGGCGTGTTGTTTTTGCCAGTGTGCGCTGATGAACATTTCAACCTGTAAAAATAACTACTCTCTTTTAACGGTGGTTATGTATCAAATACTCTTTCACGTGTTGTATAAGTCGTATAAATATGTATCGATGGTGACGTGTTATTGATATTATTCTCGTTACTTTTTTCTCCGCAGTGTTATTTCTGGGTTTGAGCGTAACATTCACTGTCACAGTAGAACTCATTGGTCATATCAGAAACTAGGTAAAAGTCCTCTTAATATTTTGGTAATAAATATTCTCCTATACTTTTTGTCATTGTCAGATATTAAAATAAACTGTTACAATTATTATTATTATTATTATTATTATTATTGTTGATGAAATCAGGGACCCCCCAGAAAGTCACTGAAGTGGCAATCCATTAAAATGGGACTCAAAACCCCCCCCCCCAAAAAAACCCCTCCACCGAAGTGGTGATCCCAAATCAAAAAGTTAATGACAAGATCCTGGGGTGTGGTAAAATGCTGGTGCTGTTTGTGTTATCTTTATCATTACTGTTGTTATTATTATTATTATTATTATTATTATTATTACTGTTATTATTAATATTATTACTGTTATGATGACAATTGTTTTTTTGATCAACATTCTCTCAGAGGCTTTTATAGCTACGGAGTTTGAGCGTGAATTCCTGCGCAGTATTGCTGGTTATGAAACCCCTCATGTGTTATATATATTATGTGTGCCACGACGTGGTGGAATCTGGCGCTCGTCATTTTTTTGGGCATATATATGAAGTTATTGGTATCACCTTAAATCCTGTCCATTTGCCTTGCTTTCAATGAAAATAAATATCCATTTATCTTGGATACGAGTCGAGGTATTGGCGATTGAATGAGGTGGGGTCGCCGGGTTTTAGAGGTAAAATTCACGACAAAATGACTGCCGAAGCTAAGTTATTTCCTTAGCTTGAAAGTCTGTGGAAACTTTAAAAAATGTACAATTCTTATCCTTTACTCAGCGTTTTTCGTAAAATCCACACAGAAATGTGTACTTTAATGGGCACGAATTGTGATGGGCCAAAAATGAAAAAATTCGATACAAATGTCTAAACCTGTGGAAAAAAATGCCCTTTTTTTTCACTTTGATTATTTTGACGAGCGTCTGATTTCATCAAGTTGCCTCACATACTATAATAATTATCATCACATTGTTTTTAGTGATTGGTTTCTGGTCTGTGCCTTGCAGTTTACATTTTTTTTTCTATGGGTTTTAATTTTTTTCTTTCCCATGTAGGGTTAAAAAAAAAAAAAAAAGTATAAGTCTGTGTCTTCTATCAAAAATTGCGATAACATTTGATCATTGTCACCCAAGAAAGATGGTATGTTTAAGTTAACAGTAGAGCAATCGAGCAATCGGCATGCTCTGCGCATTTCTGCTGTTGCCAAGGAATTCAACGTCAACTGAAAATCTGATGTGGTACCTTTATTTCGATCGCCAGTATATAATTATATATATATATATATTGCCCCCACATCCTTCTCTGTACCCATTCTGACGAGCTCCTTCTCTTGCGTTCCCCCATCTGTGTTGTGCGAAGTAATTTGCATGCACTCCCGTCTTTTATTTCGACTTTTGCGATTTTTTTTCTTTAGATGACTGAGGTATTTTTTGATAACCGTTATATTATACCTGCTAATACGCCTTCCCTGTAAAGTTGTTGTTAAAAAGTCGGACCACCTTGTTGTGACTGTATGTTCAGTGTTGCTACTTACCGATGTATAAGCCTATGTATCTACCCCCCCCCCCCCCCGCCCTCCTCCCCACCCACCCAAGTGCAGAAAGCAATGTTGCAATGACTTTATCAAAAGCAATACATGGCTCTTAGTCCTAGGTGACTTTAAGCCCTTTTGTCTCTTTCCATATTGTGATTTGCCAATGTGTCTATTTAGCATTGCTAGTGCTGCTTATGTCCCTTTCTGACTGTATGTCAGAGTTTCCCCCATTTTATAGGATAGAAATGTGTTTCAAACAATATTCTTCCTTCGTGCATTTTTTGTTTTGCCTTGTATCCTGTCAAAAACTTGTTATGGTCACCAGCCTACGTGTCATATTGTGCAGAGGTAGATGGTTTCTTTTTTTGTGTGAGTGCTGCTCGTCCTATGTCCTGTCAAGCCATACTGTTTTGTGGAAAGCTCTGCCAAAATGTAATACCGATATGTCATTCTGTGTTGCTATATATATATATATAATAGGTATGCCATAAGATGAAGGTGACAATCTGTACCCTTTACATTTGTAAGAGTTTTCAATCACTAGTTGCCATAAAACTTGATTGTCTAATCAAAACAGTTTAGCTTTTGCGGTATGCTTAATGCATACACTTCTGCTTGAACTGGTTGTAACTTATAAACTGAGGTCACCGGTGGTATAAAACTTTGGGTCAGGGTGCTTTTAAAGTACAGATGAGAGTACCTTTGGAAAATGCTTCACTGTACAAAAGTTCTTTTTCAAAAATGTGCTGACCTGATTGTAAGTTTCTGAGTCAAAATATAGTTATATATATATGTTCATACATAACTTTTAAATACTGATAGTTGCCATAATTATTATTTTAAAAATGTATTTGTTCCTCTGTAGTGTATGCTTTTGATAGAAATTCCTGTGACAAAGCAGATCTTGGAGGGCCAGCTATTGAATCAAACTTTTTTCCTAACAACATTCACATGTTATTTAAAAATCGATTGTATATTATATTTTTGTGAAATTTTGTCACTTTGGTCGCCTTTAACTTTCGAATTTGAAAAAAATTAACTGTGGTTCAGAATTATTGAGAGGGTGCAAAGTTATAATATTATGAAGTCTAAAGTCACTGTAGTTAAATTTCAGTTTTTCACTAGTTTCGTTTAGATCTAATCTTGGGAAAGTTCGTCTTCTAAGACGCCATTGTAAACTTGTGAGGCTTCGGTTCTTAAAGAGTGTGTGCACTGCTCCCACGATGACTTGGCGATCGATTCTTTTGAATCCGTTGGTCTAACGGATACCCAGCTTGTAATAGAATATTTTGTTTAATGTTTGTTGAAATAATCAAATGGCCTGAGGATTGTATGCTCGTGTTGACAACCAAATGCAGAGTGAAAAAAAAA